TGAAGTCCTTTGGTTTCGTTTCTGCTTTTACACCTGACAACATCTATCTCCGTAGCCTTGTCTTGTTGACCACAGGGACAAAGGCAGAATGTATTACACCGCTGAAAACAGATGTCAATAATTAGTTTTGCGGTGGGGCAAAACCAGGTTTGTTTTTGACTGCATCCACTCTCAGCCTGTCACTCTCCTTTTCTGGTCACTGTCTCTGTGAAGCACCTTTGCTTTGCAAGTTGGCCTGACCTCTTAAAAGGCTCATTTTGTTCCTAAGTCTAAAGTTCTTTCAATTTCTGCTTTAATATCATGTAAGTCCCATTTCAACTTTCTTCTAGAGATGAAAAAAGGGCACAAAAAATTAGTTTCTCTGTCATTTTTCCTCTTAAAATCTTTGCTGTAGTTGCTAGCGAAGATTTAAGGTGGCTTCCCAGCCACGTTGCCATTAAGAAGGTCGTAGAGCTTATCAGCCCCTCTACTGTCTTATTTTTGGAGCTAAATGAAAAGTTAAAAGGATGTAAAGTCTATTCCACTTTTCTTTGCATATTTACAATATGTTAATAACTGCAGCTAATGTTCTCAGAATTATTATTTCTAATGGTTCTTGATTTGAAGCATTATGGTATAGCAGTTAGCTTGTCATGACTTTGACACACACTTTATCATTCTATTTAAGGAATCAGTTTTAATCTTCAAAGAAAAGGCTTAGTTAATTTAGAAGTCAAGCAGAGAGATGGCAGTCATAGGAGCTTTTAGCACAATAGATATTCATAAAATACCCCCATAAAATCGTAAGCCTTAGGGACAGATGCAGTAATATAACATTCCCCTTTTTTTGCCTCCTGCACATGTCTACTCCCACTGAGGGTGGTCATAAAAAGTAAGTGCTTGTAAATTCAGAACCACCTGACCTGCCATAAAAAATATGGTTTTTTTAAGAATCTCATGTAGAAAAGAAGAAAGAGCAGGACTGTTCTTTAGTAGGTACTAGTGCCTCTAAGGGAGCTGATTCAGCTGAGTTTGGGTTAATATTCCTGAATTGAGAGAGAGAACCGTCTTAGTCTCAGAGCAATTATTAAATATTATTACCTCTACGTATGCAATCTGATGGCAGAATAATGCAGCCTCCTGGGGGAAGGGGAAAAACTCCTGCATCAGGGATATTTAAAATGAGACTGAATAAAAATTGCATGAGGTCCTATATGTAGCAGTCCATTAGAACTGCACTGCGATAAGACCTATCTCATGCCTTACATTCCCTTCTAGAGAAAAGGAATTTTGACCTTAACAAGGGCTACTTCATCATCATAATTATGGAGCTGTTCTTGAACTCCTGTGAACTCCTATCTGTCCGATTCTCATAGCCATCGCTGCTCTTGCCATTTTCATCCCTGCTGACAATTCCCAGCCTATTCCTTACAGCACCCTAGAAAGCCGTCGGCACTGCTTCTTTCTGCCGAGCACAAATCCATAAGCAGTCAAGAGGGGATTTACATACTTAACTCCAGGACTTGGCTGTTTCTCTTCCTACCCCCTTACCCCCCCTCCCCTCCTAAACAATGAGCACCTCATTTTTATCAGCTGTTTTTTCTGGGCATTCAGGTTTTTCGTATGTGTGTGTGCGGAAATGCCAAACTTAACATATCTTTGTGCAGCTCAAAACCTGCTCTGTACCCAAAGAGACTGGGGACAGCCCCAGCCCAGCTCCTCCCCAGCCTCCAGCGGCGAGCACGGGCGGCTGACATCAGGGATGCTGGAGAGTGGCTTTGTACACACACTCGCAGCAGCAGCAGCAGCACCTGTTATTTCACTTTCTTGCTTGAGCTTGGAAATTTGTCTACTAGATCATGAGCGTTAGGAATGAAGGCAAATCCACATAGACCATATTTCTGCAAGATCGATTGTACTTAGTGTTTATCCATTGCCATTAATGTAAGCAGTCTTAAGATGAGACGAAAGGCTTTAATAGGAGGAAAGCATCTGAGTCCTCAAGAAACTAAACTATTTGCCAGCTGCAGAGAAGAAAAAAAGACCAACGTATCATTAGTGCTCAAGCCTCGTGCAAGGGGAAGGAAATAATTTAAGTGCACGTTTTTCAATGAACCAAGCATGCCCACGAAGTAGGAGAAGGTGAAAACACATTAACCAAAACCCAGGGGGAAATTTCCCTCCCAACCCAAGATAGGTGAGCGGCGTGACCCTGCACGTGTGATCATCTCCTCCACGTAAAAGGCTTCTTGGTATGTGATTGAGACACAGGCACTTTAGTGGATAGGGAAGAAAATCTCTGGTCATGGCCAGATCCTAGAGATGTTATTTGCTCTGTATCATGGCAAAGTCTTTCAGTGCAAATAAGAAAGATCTCCTGTAATAAACAACCAGTTTTTTAAGAAGCTGTGTATGGGGCGTTTTTCCTAAAATAATCCTGCAGACCTTTCTCCATAACAATGCCATTTTTGGCAATTCTGCTTGAAGAATCTTTCGTATGAAATCAGAACGTTTGAAGTGAATCATTTAATTTCCTTAACTTAAAGAGGTTCCTACTGCATTTAATTTTAAGATGATTCTCTCTAATTAAAGTTCAAGTCGCTCTTAAATATTTAGCCTTGTTAAATGAAGATCCAGGAAAGAAAATGTAATAATCTTTTTCTTTTTTGCTTTACCTGAAATACGCCTTTTTTGAGTTTTTAACTTTGAAACACCAATTTAATTTGAGCTACCAGCATGAATAATTTCCAAGGTTTCAAGCACAATTTAATATTTTAAATTGAAAAGCTAGATCAATTAATTCTGTATTATTTTAGAGACTTTCCTTATAGCAGTTTTGCTGGGGGATAGAAGCAGGACAGAATCAAATTCTATGTTGATCAAATGATCACCCATATAAATGACCGGTTAAATATGCAGCCTACATATTTTTCCAGGCTTGAAATATTGGGGAATTTTTTGAGGATACGCTTGCTGAGATGTTTTGGTAACTTGACCTGGTTGGGCTGTATCCTCAAATTTGTGCACCTAGAATGCAGGAGTATGAGATCTGTGTTTAGTTGCAGGATTTCGGTAGGATGAATGGTTACACAGCTGTCTGTGAAAATCAGACCATTTTCGGGGACTCTCCCACTGCAGTCAGTCATCCAGTTCCCATGTGGCTAAGCTTGAAAATGTGAACTTTATGTCTCTCTAATAAGCAAGTACTGGCTGTTTTCTCTTCGGTTCTCTCCCCTTATTTCTTGGCTGGTAGCTATTAATGTTCAGCTGATTTTCTTTTTTTTTCTCAGCCTAGCTGACTATGACACCAGACAAATTAGTGAGCATTTTGTCTCCATGATTAATCAGTGAGCTTTCAGTTTTGGCACTGTGTTGTAGCATTGCTTAGAGGATAAATAAATAAATCAATCAGATATTCCTGACAACTGTAAAATAATTAAGGAAAAAAAAAAAGCCACACAACAAAAAGTTGAGTGATCACTTCATCACTCTTTAATGTGAAATCAGGAAGTACATGTTTTTTTTGGCTTGGATAACTGGACATGCTAACTTTGAATCATCATTACTATCTCCTTCTTCCCACTGGATCTGCTGGTGATTGTTACATGGGACTGAGAGACTTCCTTTATCTGAATTTTTGATGGGTGAAGTTGGAGTTGCAGTTTCTATTTTGAAGTGTGGTTTTAGTCTGAAATGGAGTATGTAAAAATGGAAATTGCCCTCTCAGTGAATCACAGTCTCGGCTGTTGACCTGAGTGACAAAACCCACTTTTTCCCCCTTGCAAAGCTGATGCTGTTCAGGGCTGTGTTGGCTTTACTTCTGCCTCTCACCATATCGCCACATTGCTAACTAAAGGGCAAAATCTGTTCTCATTTAGTATCTGGTCAACGTTCCTGTTTCTGATGGTGTTGGATAAGGCGGCTGTGGGAAGACTTTTGCCCAAAGATTTTTACTTTTTTACAGTCAGGACAGATCTCAGTTTGCTGCCCCCAGCCTGGACGCGCCTGCAGGTCCAGCAGTTGGAATATCCTCACGTGCTCTGGGCGGTTTTGACCTGAGGTCTCTGGGAGGAAAACAAAAGGAATTCTTCCTATCTCCCAGCTACATTTGGTTTATGTTTTGGAACACAGGGTACAAACTCTGTGCCTGAGTATTTGACCCTGCTTGTCAAATACACAACTTTCCTTGACTTCAGTTAAATTTAAGCCAAGAAGTCAGAGGGCAGATTTTGTCTCAGCCCCTGCAAAACGGCCATTTTGATGCAATTTGATCCATTGGTATGGACCATTTGATCCATTAGGTATGTTAATGCTAGATATATAAAATTATGCCTCTGTACATATGCTTCTCTGAGGCCTTCTAGCCACTTAAACACCACTTAAACTATAAATACCTACACTTACTCAGTTCACGTGGCCCTGAAGGAATTGTGAAAATTTTGGCTATTACAAAAATTATAAATAATTCCTGAAATACTATTCAAGAAAATATGTTTTGTGTGTGCATGCAGTGAGGGGAGAAGGAAGGAGACCCTTTGAGTTTCCTCCTGAAGAGATGAAAATCGAAATGCATCCAGCTCCCTTAGCCAAGCCCCAACCTAAAGAAGTGCAACCTTGTTGAATACAATAGCTGTCCTATGTTATGGAGAGGGCTGAGTTTTGTTCCAAGTAAAATATATCCTGGGTTATAATGTCTGCATAATTTCCATTCTGTCATTTGTAATGGTGACTGAAAAAAAGAAGACACCTGAAATAAAGCATGCCAGCAGTCAGCTAGATGAAGCGTTTCCCGTACCTTCACTTCCATAAATTTCTGTCTGAAGGCATGTGTTTTTCTAAAACTGCTCTGTCTGCCTGATGACATGGCAGCACAAAATATTGCTGTGTATTCGTACGGTTCTCCATCCACACCTAACAAGTGAGCACCCTGAAAACTCCTCTCAAAATGCTGTTCTCGGGACACTTTGCATTCTCAAGGTCAGCCTGTTTCCTAACCCTTGTGTCCTTTTCCTTTCTTTCAGGGTTTTGAGGACCCCAAGGACAAGTAAGCAAATCTACTTCTGTCATACACTGTTATGTTTGGGATTTTTTTCTCATATTAAAAAAAGACAAAAATTAATGCCCAGCAGCCAAGAATAATGCCTGGACTCCCTGGAGGTTTCTCCTGGAGGGACAGCCAGTCGAGGGCACGGGATTGACTAATTGCATTCAGAACTGCCGCTGCCCTCCAAACTTTTATTCGTTTGTGTGGTTCTAACTTCCTTTTGTAATTAAAATGCTTTTGCTGCTCTTTTCCTTGCCCCCAATTTTCTTTGCTGCTTTGAAAATATCCCAAGAACAAAATCTTCCTGTAAAGTATGTCTAAGTGTCGAACATCTCGGAGAAGAAAAATGTATGTATGTTTTGAAATATATATAGTTTCTGAGTTCATTTGTATATATTTTATATTACTCGTTATGACATAGTACTTATTTCTACATAAAAATGAACTCAGAAATGACAGCTTATTTGAAAAAGTAAATTCGAACTTCCATGCTCTAAAATACAGCCACATTAAAGCAGCATTTTCTTTTCTTTTTTCATATAGACTCTAAAAAAAAGGGGTTAAAATAACAATATAACAAAAGTGATATTTCGAAAAAATGCTTTTGGAGGAAAAAGACAACTTTTTAACTTCTAGAGCTGGAAATAACAAAAGCATTTCCTGTTTTGAAAGTGTTTGTAATAATTTCACATTCAGTCCTACTGAATAGCATTAATTGAAAGCTTGCTCAGCATGAGGTAGGTGGCGGTAGATGAAACTGATGCCTAAAACAGGCTGCTCTTGCCCCTCGTCGTGTTTCTCAGGCTGCTGGTCAGGGCTAAGTGGACCTCTGTGAGTTGGGGCAGCTAAATGCTTCTGTGGGCTCTGAGCAGCTGGCTTTGGGAGAATGCACGTTATGGTGGCTGAGCATTGACAGTTACTTCCTAAAAGGAAAGGGATGTGATGAGTTTGAACATGGCAATATTAGGAATCATCCTTTCCTCCCCTTGCCCTTCACTGCAAACTCAGTTGCCATAACATTGTCTCTCTGCACCCTGGGATGTTTCACTGGTGGTACAAGGTGTCTAGGGGGAGTCACCAGGATTTCTTGTTGCATCCACGGGTGCAGGGAACTCAGTTGATACTAGGTACACTTTCGACAGAAAAGATCTCACAGATTTAAAAAAAAAAATCCTTAGGAATACAGAAATTTTAAGTAACCCTCGTGAAAGAGGATCTCTCCTTATAGTTTGTGCAACAGAGCATAAAGTCATCTACCTCGGTGTTGGTCCACAACAGAGTCACTCAGCTGGTGAGTAACAACATCTTCACTGTTGCTCCAAGGACTGTAATGTCACTCCATCATGTAGTTTGAAAAGGTTACTTTAGCTATTGCAGCCAATAGACTAAATGCTGGCAAGGATTACTGTATTTACCAGTCCTGATTCAGTGTTAGCCCATCTTATTATACAGATTGCAGGATTTTTTGCATTTCTGTTCAGCTCCAGAATAAGCTACTACTTTCCTCAGAATCTCTTAATCCTGAAATCTGTTTAATTCAAGACAAAGATTCAGCAAAAAAAAAAAAAAATCTCTAGCAGAAAATGTTCATGATGACATGGCTTAAAATCAGATACCTAAATCATGTCAAGCGCTCAATCCAATGTCTTCATGTGCAGAAACACTGAGCATCAGTACTTTTCTCTGACAGTAAAGGAAGGTGTAGGCACCACACATCTCTGAAAACAGGACCTGACGCTTACATGCCTAAATGCATATTTAGTTACTGAATCTAGGCATGAAGCATTTAAAATTATGGCATACATGTAGTTTTGGCAGTGGTCACACTCTTCATTTGCTGAAAGTAATTAAATCAGCAGAACATTTTTAGATTACTCTGAAGCCAGCATCTCTGGGTTAATTGCTAGCTTTCACATTTGCAAGCAGAGTGCAAAAGTTGCTCCAAGCCCTGTTCATGCTGTTCCTGTCCCTTGCACCAATTTTCTGTTGGCTGCATTTAGAGAAATTTCAGCAGTGCTTTTAAGAGGTGTTTCTGGAAATTTCATGGTGGCCTGAAATCGTTGGGTTCCCTCCCCGACTATCAATATATCAATAAGCATTTCTACATACGGATTTCATTAGTCTATGGCAGTACCTCAGCACTGACTTACAGACCTCCAGGGCACTCCTTAGCACAGGGAAATTTTGTATTTCAGTTTAAGACTTACATCTATGCAAATGTACCCGAATTTGCTGTGCAGTAATTAGTTTGGGTACGAGTGGCCCAAGCAGTTAGGTATATGCAGGGTGACTAAGCTTCCCTGCAGTCTACGTGAACGCCGCTGCCTCATTGTGAATATCCCAGCAAAGTAATTTAAAACCTGCGGGGGGATTTCTACACAATCTGCAACCACACAAGTTATTGTAGTATTAGAGATACCCTCAGCAGGATAATGACCTATTACAAAACTGGAGGCAGCCAAGGCCAAAGCCCGAGCAGACAGGTTCTTCTCTTCACGTCTTCCTGAGTGACGCTTTTCAACTGGAACTTGAAATTGAACTGAGGTTCACCAAAATGCTGAGCAAACTCTTTCCCTCCGGTTCTAGGGGAAAACGTATTGCATCTCTCGTACGTGGTATGAAATGACTAAATGTGAATGACCCAAATGTGTAAATAACTCACAGGATCTTGGAAGACATTCTGTAAATACGAAGCCTAATGATTTCCTTGCTCATTTTTATGACTCCAGAAGACAGAATTGTGAGGGCTGAATGAAAACAACCAGCGTCGTCTTGAATGCTCAAGCAGATGTGCTTCCTCTAAGGAAGCATCTCAAAGTAAATTGAATGTCCGGTCCTTCTAGGGACAAAACTGCTTTTAATTTCAAGGTGGAATATATGAAGTTCAAGGAGTTAAATAACTCTAGAGCCCAAAAATGAAAAACTCTTTTCCCCAACCCCACTGAAATATTAAGATTGGCTAAAATAGAGATAAAATCTTGAGACAAACTAAGTTTGCAGTTGCCATGTGGTCACTAGATAGATGCTGCTGGTGTGTCATCATGACCCAGCTGAGATGTAGACACATTCAACTTGCGGGCTTGGGCAAAGGGAGGTGGAATGGCAACGGGTAGATGGACCTGATTTATTCTTCTCCTGGCAAGAGTTACATGGTAGAGTTGGGGTACAGAGTGCTTCTAAAAATCTGGTGTAGTTTGGCAAAAAGCTTTGGAAGGTCTTTTCTTTTGAAAAGGGGCTTTTAACTTTTAAAACAGAGTCTCATTCTGGGTTGTAACCTGCTTTGAGCAATCTCCGTTTCCAGCACAGTCATACCTGTAGGGACCTGCTGGCTGTGACACAGTGTTTGTGCATTATGCACTGTTAGGGAGTACAAATAAAACCGAGAAAATAAAGCAGTGTAGCTTTCCATCGTGCTTGTCAGACCTTGGGATTTTTTCTCCAGAGTGTCTGAGGTGAAGGTCACACAACATGAGCTGGAAGTTGCTGTGCCATCATGGGGTTGGCACACAGAAGTAGTTATCCACTGGAATATGCCTCAGTGCAAGTGGGGAGTATATTCCAGTGGATAACTATTGTCATATCCCGTGGATAACCTTGGCAATCATGCAAGCAGAGCAGAAAAACAGCACGTCAGGATTAGCTTTAATTTCTGCCTATAGCTAGTTTTAAGGCGGACCATTAAAGTGACAGCATCAAGTCATTAAAATCCTTTTTAGATTTTAAAAATAACTAGAGAGTTTGGGGAGGTGCTTCAGGTTTCCTGATCCTCAGTGCAAAATGCCTCAGGGCGATTAAGTTTTCAGTGTTATTTTTTTCAACGGTTTTTGAAAATCAGCCTCATTTTCCAGAAGCTGTAGCTGAACATCAGAAACACACTGATACGAAAGATTATAAGCAATTTAGAATTCTTGTTCCACATATTTAGAAAGCAGAATCTAATTTGTATTGTTTTCTTTTGCTGCCTTTCTCTTGTGCAACATTTCCTTGCATTAAGTAAATATCTTGTAAACAGATTTTTTTTTCTCGTTTATGCTTTATACTCCTAAATAACTGCACAACAGGGAGGCAGTGGGGCGTCAGGCCACATTTTTTTCCCCACATGTTCGTTCTGTGAACAATTTTTTCTCAAAACTTTTTCAAGTTCGGAAATGTACACAGAAATATTTACAGAAATTATTATTGGGAAGCAAGAAATACGACTGGTTACAAAAATCATTTTGCCAGTTGAGGCACTAAAAGCTACGACAGCATGGCAGGGCAGGGAAGGATAGGTCAGAGGACTAGTGGAAGGAGACTACTGACCGGCTTTAGAGAATGAAGGACAGTAAAGAGACTGCAAGGCAAGAAAACAGATGGATCTGGTATAGAAAAGGGCAAGTAAGTCGAATCCTTTCACTGGTGGACTCAGGACTGGCAATGATACCGTTTTCCTCTCAGCTCAGAATCCATTTTGCAACTTGAAGCTGTCATAAACAAAATGCCATTAACCTCCAGTTTGTTATACAGTGAAATGATAACATATGGTGAAGAGGGGGAAATTGTCTTGTCCTCTTATGCTCCCTTTTTGTGACGTCTTCAGGAATACACAGGAAAGTATGAACCCAGAAGATGAAGTGGATGAGTTTCTGGGCCGTGCCATTGATGCTAGAAGTATTGATCGGTTACGCTCTGAGCACGTGCGCAAGTTCCTCTTAACATTCAGGGAGCCTGACTTGGAAAAAAAGGTAACGTCGTCTAAAAATCATTGCAATGTGTCAGTCAAGCTTGTTGTGACTGCTAATACTCCTGCATAAGGTCAAGCTTTTATATCTATACGTAAAGCTAGGTTTTTGGTGTTGGCGGTGGGGTTTTGATCTTAAAAAATTTCTGCTTCTTCATGACAACCTTAATATCCACATCCCTAGAAAGCCACAGTCATCTGAAGGGAGCACTGGGCAGGAGAACCAAGCCATTTCTGTCAGACACACATGAATATACAATGATGAGCTGTAAAGGGAATCCAGAATAATGCAGATTAGTTTCTCTGACCTTGACGCATCCAAACTGAGATTGCAGTCACCCATTATCTCCCTCAAATCCCTGGAGAAACCCGCTTCAGCCTTCCTGAGCTCCAGATCACCTCTGGCAGGGCTTTACTCTGCCTTTGTTCCCCCAGGGAGCCCCAGGTACTACTAATTGCATTGGGATCCAATTCATACTCTGGTCATTTTTGGGAACCCATTTTAAGCATCAAATAGAGTTCTGTGTCTCACAAATGTGAGAAAGAGGACTAAGGGACCTAGGGCTCCCAAACAGCTGATTGCTTCCTGATTTTGTTTCAGATGTCATTGCTGTGAGGCAAAGATCTTTTCAATTTCTCTGTCTGTGTAATAGAGACACCATCAGCTCTAGATGTCTGCAAAGTTAAATTCAGTTAAGTCCAGAGGTACCCAGATGCTATTATTAAGGGTACTGTATAAACTGCTGGGTTTAATTGCCCAAAGAAAGGCAAGGTCATCTTTTTTCTTTTTTTTTTTTTTACCCAAGCCCAGATCCTTGGGATACTTGAGTGGTCTTCAGGTTAAACTCATTATTCAATGGAAAAAGCTTCAGTAATTAAGTTTGCACTAACTATTTTAGCATTTTGTTTAGAAACACTTTCAATGACAGGAATTACAACCTATTGCAAAAGCATACCTTTGCAGGATTTACAGCTCTATCAGTGAGGGACTGGATAAAAGCTCAAGCATGTAATTTCCACTCACGCCTTCCCTTCAATTTTATAGCTGAAAACTGCTCGGGAAATTAGCGGTTCACCTGTTCTGAGCACCTTTTATTTTGTGGTTCAAACATTGAGACTGTCTGTACTGAGAACCATGCTTCAAGCTAAATAAAGCATCTTTGGGAATCGGATGCAGCTCCCATGTGACCAATATGTTGACAAGTAGTTGGAAGCAGTGACTGTGTGAAAACCGCAGCATCCTCGCACTATCATTAGAACAAACCAAGCCGTCTGCAAAAAATACAAGGCTTTCTCATTAGAAACATTCATGCCTGTTGGAAGAACCTTCCCATGGAAGAAGTTTAGGTCTGATGATGGTGACCTAGAATCCTGGTCCCTGTTGATCCCTTCCTGTTCCTCTCATGCAAGGGGCAGATGGCGAATCCTCTCTCCACGCAGCTGTGAGGGTTTGTTCCCTGGCCTTTGGGTCTGTTTAAGCCCTTACAGCTTGCCTAGGGAAAAGAGGAGTTGGTAATGTGAGTTGTTTCCTACTGGCGCTGCTTTCCAAAGACCTAAACAGAAGCCAGATAAGAAGTTTTTGTGGAGAAAATGCAGCCAGCGAAATTTCTGACTAACATAACCCTGTTTGCATTTTTGCAGTACTCCAAGCAGGTGGATGACAGGTTTGGAGCCTACGTGGCTTGTGCCTCCCTAGTCTTCCTCTTCATCTGCTTTGTTCAAATCATAATCGTGCCACAGTGAGTATCTTTTCATCCTTTTGCTCCCATCTGTTCCCTTCCTCTATTCTGGCCTACTTTTCTTTGTTTTTTTCTTGAGAATTCAGAGCACCAAGGGGAAGAGAAAAATCCTTAAATAATTCATGCTCAAGTGATGCGTGGTGCTTATTGTTTTCACTCATTTCTAGTGCAGATTAAAACCTCCTCCCTGGCACGTGAGGATTTCTGTTTTCCCAGTGTGATTTCTCTTACCACTTACCTCCATCTTAGGAAATTCAGCTCAGCACGTTTATAAGCCTGTGGAAAACAAATATCACTGATCAGGAAGGATTGCCTACTAAGGCATAGTACGCATCCATAACATGAGGTGTGGCTGTCTTACCTGAACGCAGTGGGACCGAGAGGTGAAAAACCCATCGCAGCCTTGTTGCTCAGAGCACTGAAGTCTCAGGGTCTGCTTCACAGATGAGGCATAACCTCTCATGCATTTATTCTTCTAGACTCAGAAGAGCAGTGCAAGAAGAAAGGAGTTGAGCTACACGAGTCTGCTCTTTGGGTAGGGGGAGTCACCAGGGTTTAGGGCTTGCAATCATTTCTTCCCCCAGGCAAGAGCAGCATGAGCTCCTCGGGGCTGTGGGGCACAGTGCTCGTGGACCACTCACTGCAGTACGTTGCTTTGTCTGAAAGGCACTGTGTAACCCGCTGGATCTTTTCCAGCAGTGAGCTCTGCAGACATGGTATTTCTTCTCAAAGAGTTCATAAAAAATCCCTTTAAATTACAGCATGTTGGTATTTCCTGTGCTCTGGTTTAGTAGCAATAATATATCATTCACTGAGCACTGCTGCGTTGGAAATAAATTTTGAGTCAGTCATTTTTAATTTGAAGAACAAGATCACAGAAGCTCTGAAACTGTTCCAAATTCATCTTTGTTACAAGAAGACAAAAAATTGTTTAGAGAGAGCTTCAATACTGTTATATGCCATTACAACTGCTTTCAACTTCTGTTCACACCACAGATCTTTTCAGAGTAGAGATTGGTTTGTACCGTTCAGATCAGATATTCGGAAGGTCACAGAAATGACGCATAGTCTGATGCCTGAGGTCATTCACTCTCCCAGGCAAGAGGACATTCACTTCTGCTCGCAGAAAGATTGAATCAGCAAAATAACATCAGTACAAATGTACTGTGTAAACACACGGTTCCACTTTGGGAAACTGGAAGTGAAGCTAAGAGGCTCAAAATTGAAACTAGATCAATCCCAGCAATTAACACACTGTTAATTATAGCCAAAAATGTTATTCAAGAGTAATTGGCGTAGGGAGGGCTTACACTCCAGATCTCTGGATATTACTGCTGTGACTTCACACCTGCAGAGGCCCTCTACCAGCCTTTGTGTTGCTCATCAAATCCCTAAGCAGCCACTAAACTGTCTCCATAAAACCCAGTTTAACATTTAAATGACAATTTGACGATTTCTGATCTATGGCATCCATATGGCTGGCTCTTTTATGTTACATGGGAGTCAATCCCTTACGGCAGCGTGGTGTAAATGTCATGCTGCTCAGTCTCCTTCCACGCCACCCGTAAGGCTGGTGGTTAGTTTTTTGGGTAAGTTCTGAAGTGTCCTTAGGCAGTCTGGCCTGTCTGAAAGATGATTTGGTTTAAGAGTAAATAAAATTTCACGTTTTATCTGCAAGTCAGAGATACTTTCCTTCACCTTTTAGTTTGTTTTTCCTTGTATTTCAATTGCCTAGTTTTGGTCTTTTGTTGAAGGTAACAGTTAAGCCGCAGCTGAAACCACAGGTGTACATGTGTCACCATCAGAGCTTCATGAAAGACACAACATGGAATTTGAATCTGAAACTAGGGACAAAATGGCAATGATAATTTATGTTGATACCGAGGAATAGCTTTAATGAATTTCACAAAGGCTCCAACAGTGAATTAGCAAGTACAATTATCTTAGTAGTCATGAGAGAACGCAGAGAGCAGCTGGCTTTGGTGTGGTTGGCCTCAATGTCACGTCGCAAGAGTACTTCCTTTAAATTATGAACAAGGCTAACTCCTGGGAGGGGGCCTGTCCTGTCACACTGAGACCAATCACTGGGAAATCGGTGTTGAATATCTGCATGATCAAAACACATCAAAATGCATAGTACAAAGTTGGCCCTGGGGTCCTGTTTGTACTTCAAAGTTGGGAGGAACAGGAACCTATCAAGCTGACCAGACTAAAGCTGTTTTCCCTGACTATCCTCGTGCTACGGTTGCTCCCATCCCATTAACGAGACACAGCACGGAGGATGGTGCAGCACAGGCGTTCCCTGTGCATGGCAAGGACGGGTAGCTATTCCTATCAAGACTATTCCCACTGGGCTGCACTGCAGCGCTCAGCGCGCTTTCCCTCCCAGAAGTCTTCTGCCCACAGCCAGCCAGGGGCCGACCCACCATAACAAATTGTTCTATCAGCTCCTCCAGCGCATGAAATATTTCTCAGTCCCTCTGCTGTCACCCTGGCGGGAAGGTGATTGCTGTAAAAGATGCAGTATTGTCTGCTCTGCAGCCTGCATGAGTAATTCGAAGTAGGACAGAGTATCTGTTGATATTCCAGGCACCTCGTATCTCCTACTGCTGTCCTAATTGGAAAGCCCGTGCAGTGTGTCATAGCTTGTACAAAAGTCATGTTCTGGAGAGCGGAGCTGTAGCTATTCTATATTGTTTCCATTTAAAAAAAAAAAATCTCCTTGATTTCAGCTCTACATTTATGCTGGGGTTTTACCTGACCTGTTTCCTGATCCTGACCACAGTGGTGTTTGTTTCAGTCATTTACTCCTGTGTAAAGGTGAGTACTGCGGTTTCTTTGTAGAGTCCTTTGCCTAAAATAACTGGATAGCAATCTGTTTCTTCAGCTAAGAGAGCATGTTTTGTTAGCCATCCTTTCCGCGCTATGTGATAAGGGTTACAGAAAAAGCCTTTGATAAGGCAGAATGAACTGCAAACAGATGTTAGGGTTGGCATCTCTGTAGCTCAGCGAGAAGCAATCACTCTGTGGATCTGCATGTCTATTAAGTCCCCTGCAGGCACTCTCATATTGATATAAGAAGAACACATTTTCCAGTGTGGAATGAAACACTGACCGTTCGTTTCCTCCCTGTGAACTTCCCGCAGAGTCGCCTGTGTACTGGCCCCTGCTGCATATGCATGTTTGGGTAGGCAGATAATCAGAAGCAGAGTATCATCAAGGAAAAATGTCCTGTGGGGGAAGTAAAAGCCACAAACATATAGAAGTTTATCAGCCTTTCTCAGATGAGTATACAGAGCTTCCAGCATTCGGTGGGCTCTTTCTTCTAACTGGTTTTGATCAGCAAAGAAATACATTGTGTGAAATCCAAAAACATATTAATTCTTCTTGGCAGCCTGTGGTAAATTGGCAGGCAGCGCTTTGGGAAGGGTGATGTGCTCATCTTTTTCACTCAAAGGTATTCCTTTTAAAATGTTGATGCTAGTTGATTGTATTTGCAGTTTTGGGGATCCTTCCAGTCTAGCAGTGTCTGAACATGGAATGCGTTCAGATTCAGGCTCCTTAGCCCAAGCTCAGCTTTGTTCTTCAGAGCCCGGAATAAAATAGCTCAATAGCATTATGTTTCCTGCAGAAGAAACAGTGGGGTAATGGATTATGTCAGGCAGATGATTTGCCTTACTTGAATTATCTTCTCTGTGCCGTTTTCAACAGCTGAATGTGGGTGCTCTTGCACCTTTCATGTCTTTTTGATTTTTGAAAGTTAGATTTGGCAAATTAAGCTTTGCCTTCTCGTTTAATAAGAGCTACAAAATGTTCGAGTGAAAGAAGCTTCAGGTTATATTTGAACTTAACAACTCACTCATGGGGTTTCCCTTGAGCTTATGACAATTTTAAAGGGACCCTAGTTCATAAGTTCAGCATCCCGTTGATTCTGCTTGTTTACCAGCAATGAGAATTACAAGTCAGAAATAACAGTGCTTGAGCTGGGAAATGGTACCCAAAGATGCCTGGTTATACTTGGTGTGACCGTGGCATGTGAGGATGCTATTGAGTGTCATTAGTTTGTAAACTGGTATCAGCAGTTAATGTGATTAGCCACTAGCTGACAACCAACGTGGAAAGCTTTTGGTCACAGCCACAAAGGACTTGGAAATTCGCTGCAGAGCTGTGCTGGATCCTACTTACACTGCAGTGCCACCAACAGCAACATCCCAGCACACTGCCAGCCGTATAGGGCCACACCAGCTCTACTGCTGCTGCGAAATACTGGGGCAAGAGCAGTGGCAGACAGACCCAGACCTCTGAAGCATTCAAGCTGCCTGACTTGCAACCAGGCAGATTTCAAGGAGCGCGGCTGTTTGTCACCCACTGGCTTTTACGGGCTTAGATTGCTTCCACATACTGACAGCAGCATTCATTTCTTCTGTCATCATTCAAAGGTTTTGGTTTTGGTTTGGGCTTTCTGGTTTAATATTATTACTGATCTTAATTAACGATTAATTTAAAAGACACACAGGATTTTTCAGTCCCCATGACCTTAGGCGGATGTTCAGTCTTGCTTTCTTTGCTTTGATCTTCCAAATTCCTGTAGGAGAGGTCTGTTCAGTGGTGCCCGCAACTGCTTTTAGGCTGGCTTTGCCTCAGTGCACAGGCCCTGGAAACACAAGACTTCAGAGGGAATTCAGACTAACATCAGAATTTCATGGGATTTTCTGAAGCTCCTGGTATTTCCGAAAGTGAGTTTTCAGCATGTTGGCCCAGACCCACAAGGTGCTTACGTGTAACACTCAGTGTGGCCAGTGACTTCTGTGCACAGATTGCAAATATTGACAATATCGGGCCTTCTAGCTCCAGTACCTTTTTGATTAGCCGTTCTTTAGTGTTCCAAATTAGCCACTGCTGACAACATCTGATTATGAGATGGCTTGTTTAGGGGACGGGTGCTTCTAGCTTGTCAGCTACCTGTCTGATGGCAGCAGCTCCCAGTAGCCTCAGCCTGCTTCTGTACTTAAAGATTTTGGTGTTTCAAGGTAAGAGTTTTTTAAGCAATAGGTTTATCTAGCCTTTGATTAAGGGGTGTTACTTTATTTCTGTATTCCACATTGCTCCAGGAAGCATTTTTACACATGTGCACAAGGAAGGCACTTTTACAGATCCTTTAGATGAAATTTTAAGACACAGGGATGTCAGCATTGTTAGTTTTGTTTCACACTTGGATGTGGGGCAGGAGACAATGCGTTTTACATACCAATCGTTCATTCCACACAAAGTTGGAAAGTAGGTGTCCACCCCAGGATATCAACATAAACATAACTTTTGCCTGCTTGCTGCGCTGTTACATGATAAGTGACTCTTTTTTCTTCCTCTTTCCAGCTTTCATGTGAGATTTTCCTTCCCTCTTTTGGCCTCTCCATCTCTAGCTTTGACAGTGGCCAGCAGGCTCTTTCTGAACAGCTTGATCATGTTTTATTTTCTTTTGCTGTCATTATTATCTTCCACTGTAAAATTCTCCACGGACTAGAAGTTGATCCTGGAACTGCCAACGCAGCCAGCTTGGCTTTCCAAGTTTCTTCAGCTGTAATAAACAAGAGAGTTCCAGTTCTTCACTTTGATGCTCCATGAAGACTTGGCCACCGTGAGATGGTGTTCCTTCCCAGTAGAGTCTAAGGTCATGGGAACCAGCGTCCCTTTGCAAATACTCCACTGACAGACATCTGTTTTGCTACTAACTTATCAAGTTTGTGTTTCTTAAAATCCTCAACTTCTGGTATCTGCACTGCTGTGTGGAATTCAACTTCTTACATGTTCCTGGGAGCACGTATGAGAGAAATTTCAAGTTATCCTTTGCGAGAAAATAAGTTTTTGTGTAGCTTTACATAGGTCCAGCTTGCCTACCTGTTTCTTTGTCTCCCAAAGCTGGTCTAGATGCTCCTAAAGTGTTTGGTTTGTTTTTTTTTCTCAAGCAGGGGAAAAAATACCTCTGAAAACTGTACTTTTTTAATAGACTAATAAATCACTGTGAAATAAGTTACATAAATGGACTTGCAACATCAAGTTGCCTGGAGATGTTGTCTTTTACTCCAGAAGCATCTTAATGTACTTCAAAATGACTCAAAGGCTTTTACTACAAATGGAAAATTGAGAACTTAAAGACCTCATAGTTTCTTTCATCTCACAGCACAATAGCAATTATCTAAGCAGTTTTCCATGTCTACAATATATGTTAAAAAGGCAAAAAATTACTTTTCCGTCTGTGATCAGCTGTTACTGCAAAGTAGTTTTTATTTAGTGTATTTTTGTCATGCACATGACTGGAGTTTGTGGACTCTTTTCAATGTAACACTAGTACTTGTTGGATCGCTTTCTAAATTTGGACTTTCACCTGTACAACAGTGCCCTGCCTTCCCCTTCTATATTCATTGCTGCCTGCATGCTTTCAGAGCCGCTCTCTTCTGGGAGATAATGTCTTCCAGCAGCATTTGGGCATTTCAATTCAGAATGAACTGGAATCAACTGGACAATCCAATCTCCTTTTTCCCACTGTGGTTATTTTTCTTTACATGGGGATTTTAAGAGGGCTGATGAGTGACCTCAAGTTTATGTGGCAACCCAAATGTAAATCTCAGTTGCCCAAATGGATCGTGTCCTTTCTTTCAGCCCATGTTCTCAGCAGTGCACATACGGTCTTAGAGTTGCCATTTCATCAGACCTTGCCTTGTCCCATTTTTCACTCAGGCAAGATTTAAATCTTATTAAGAGGAGGAAATGGTGTTGGACAGTACAAACCAATGGGCTAACCAGCAACAGCACATGGACTTTCACTGTGCTGTAACGTCCTGATGTTCTGCTTCTCTTCTTAGGACAGAAAGGATTTTATTTTGTTTTATTAGAGAATGGGAGGGGAAGTCATCTTCTTTTCTTCTTCTTTTTTTGTTATACCCCTGACTTGTGGATGTTTTCATGGAGGGAACATTGCTAGGGAGGAGCTGTATTGTCAGAGCTGAGACAGGTCTCCCATTTTTATCACAGAAGTCCTCCAAGCTGCGAGTATTCCTGGTCTCTATCTGCCTCTGTAAAGTGGGAAGAGTGTTACTTACGTTATAGACCCTCCATGAATGTTGTTCCCAAGGCAGAGGTTCCTCAGATGTGTGGCATGGCTGTGCCGTTGTGGTCTCTATTGCAATCCTGACCTCCTATGGTTTTTGTCATTTGTTTCCTCTTCAGGACTTTTTCCAGCTGTACTTGTTTACTGACCTAAAATTTTCCCTAGTTTGCGAAGTAATGAGAACCAAGATTAATACAAAGAAAACATGTTTTCATTAGAATTTAAGTGTCTTCCCCTGATAGCTTTGCTTGATATCTCAGGCTTGGTTCAAAGTCAGGCTTTTTTGGGATCATTGGCAGCAGGGGCTTGAGCCAAGATCCACAACAAAGCACTCACGAGTTTTATTTAGGTGCCTGATTTCCCAGAGATTACAGAAGGAGATTCGGTCCATGCATACCTTTATGGAGCTTGGCCTTGAGGCCTAAACAAGGAGGTGGCAGGAAAACCTGTCCTGCTCTAATCTAGTGAGAAAACTGTTTAAATGCAGCACGGTCCTCTTTCTCCCTCCAAATCTTATGCAGGTTAGAGCGGAGGAAAGCCCCATGGCATTTCCCACATCCCTGCGCTTGGCAGGGATCCCTGCACTAGTGGATGGAAGTGACTGGACGTGGTGGGGCAAGGAGGTATTTTGGTTCATGGTTTATCAACAGAGCCAGGGACTTCTACATCAGCAAGGTTTATTTCTGAGAGAGGGGTGTTTTGCTTTGTTTTAAAGTGGCTGCATGAGCCTGAAGGATTGAATAAGCTTTCAGGGAATTTCAGTCAGTTCTCATGCAGTGCAAATAAGTCACAACCCCAATTTCCCCTTTCCTCCTGTCCCCCCCAGAGCCTTGCCGTCTCCTCTCGCCTGGAGTTAGCTGGATTTTTGTGTGTGTGCAGGTGAAATCAGCTCTTCCAAAACTCTCGCCTTGTCAACCTCTCTCTCCCTTCTGTAAAAGTCACCATCTAATCAGTGCTTCGGCCATTCAAATGCTTCGTAATTATGTTGTACGACTGCTGTGTGGGAAGCTATGCACTGACAAAATGTTACATCTCAGAAGATGTAAGAGTGAAGGATGAAAGGGAAAAGCAGGACTTTTAATAGAAACATTAGTCATAGTTAAATTGCAGTGCCGTGTCGCTGCGCTGCTAGCTTCTTTGTGCCTCTAAAAATACCCTCTAGTGGCTCGGTTATTCATGCAGCGTGCTGGTAAGGAAAGGAGACTTGGGTTCTGGCAAAAACTTTGCGAGTCGTCAGCAGAGCCCCTCTGCCCCGCGGCGATGGCGTGGAGGGGAAGGGCACGGCGGGGCCGAGGTGCGTCATTGCGCAAGGGTTTCCTGGCATCCATCTCTTGCCTCTGCAGCCCTGAGCTTGTGCCGGGACCGTGGTGGCACGTGAAGAGAAAGGGTTTGTTTCATGTGTGTTCTGGACTTCTCTTGTAGCTGATGCAAGGCAAGGAGGCCTCTTGCCATGCTGAAGGGTGAGCGCTGCTGCAAAGGGCTCCTGGTTAGTCTCTGCTTTCATCCAGATACTGCGTCTACCTACAGTACGACTCACCGAAAGCAAAGCACGCTGGCAGCCCGCAGTCACAAAGCAGTTAGAAGAAAGCTTCTAGCTCTGATAGTAGTGAATCACTGCGACAGTCTGTCTGGGGGAGCTCTGTGGTCACCCTCACCAGCGGTTATTTTTAGCCCCGTGTGTCTGTGGTGCCGAGTGCCATAGACCAGACGAGGCCAGCTGATTGCTCCAGCACCTTTCGCCGAGGGTCTGACTGATCATGAGACTAGCCTGGGCTTTTTAACAGTCTTTTTCTGAAATGGCACCAGAAAGTCCTACAATACGCCTTTGATCAAAGGGATATGACATGTATTCTTTCGTTTCTGCTTTTCTAAATTTTTGATCCAGTAATTTACAGGCTCGAGCTCGTGGCTATTTCAGTTACAGATGGCTTGTGGTTTGCTTCTCACGACAGGATGAGCACAGCCCTGCAAGCCATACTATCTCGGCTCAGGAGCCATCATTCCCATTAGGAAGGACTAAGTAGATTTGGTGAGCCTGCTGGGCCAGCCTGCCACAAGGCGGTCACGTTCCTGCTCACCCTTGTCCTGGAGCCGCCATCCCCCATCACCGTTCTCTAACCCCTCGGCAGCATCCGCACAGACGCCACGATGAAGTATGGCAGGCAGCTCAAATGCAGGTTGTAATCTGTAAAACAAGCAATGATTTTACATGTTTATTTAATTTATTTATTTTTTTCCCACACACAGCTTTTCCCAGCTCCACTCCAAACCCTTTCTAGGAAGATTGTACAGTCCAGGACCAATAGTACCTTAGTTGGAGTCTTTGCCATTATCCTGGTTTTTCTATCTGCCTTTGTCAACATGGTACGTGCATTATTTCCTTTTGACCCACTTGGTTCTGCATGGTTTTCTTATTGGTGCTCTGCAGCACCGTAACCCGTACAACCACTGGGTTTAATGTAATCGGGCCTAATGCTTACAGCATCTGAGGTCAGTTCCCTTTTGCTTTTCGGGCACAGAAAAGAAATGGGAGCCCAACAGCTGCATCCGTATAGCCCATTATATGCCTGGCACCGATTTGTGCCCGTGTTCTTTTCTGATTCTTTAAATGCTTCTGCTCCAAGCACATAAGCCAAGCCTGAAGCGTACCCCTGCGTGAAGGGCCAGCATGAGGCCGGTGCGTCATTTAACTCCCACAATATTGAGTGGGACTTAAGTGTTGCGTAGGCTTTGTGCTGGCCTTCTGCACGGTGCTGCGTCCTGCTCCGAGTGCAGTAATCGCCTAACAGGGACTGTGAAGACTTTGCTTTGACTTGCACTTTTGGGAGCAGGGTGGTCTGGCTTTGCATTCAAACGCTGCTGCTGATGGCAGACTCGGAGAGAGATGGGCTGTTCTCTAGGACCCGACGGCTGCTGGTTTCTCCCCTGTACAAATGGCTTGAAGGCTGAATGTATCTTGAAGAAACCACTTGAATACTCTCTACCCTGCATACATCTATTTCATTTTTTAAGAGAGGAGGGGGAAAAAGGAGAGATGGGCCTGGGGTTAAAGCCTGGAGCTTGGAGGTAGCTACAAAGACTTCACATAGCCTTCTGCTCCTCTCACTTGTGGCCTCAGCTGGGTCAGTGCTGACTTGCACTGGCATGCAGAGGCTTAAACACCTAAAAATCAGATCACTTCTTGCTCTTGCCTTAGCTTCCCTATGCACATAGTGGAGATTTAGGAACAATTTTATGCTCTGTTGAGGTACTTGAATGGGAGGCGCTAGTTCAGCGGCATCGACACTCCACCGCCTTCCCCCATAGTCACCTGCAAAAAGCTGGTGTGGGTTGCTGAGCACCACGCAGAAATTAGAGCTTTGTTTTTCTGCATAATGTGCAATTCGTCACATTTGTATAAAAATTAGTATAAAATGCTTAGTATAAAAATTAGCAAAATGGACAAATGGAGCAGCAAGTGGAGGAGAACAGAATGGGCGTCTGCTGCTTCCTCAGCATAACACAGCACATCAGCCTCTGAGCCCTGCTGCTAAAGTCTTCCCTGCAGATGAACCCACAGCAGAAGCTTTAGAGATGGCAGGGGAAAGTTATCAGCTCAGAAATTCCCATCAGCAGAAATAGCGCAACACCAGGACCTTATCACAGACAGCAGGATATTTTTGTGTGTGTGATATCTACAGCCCCTCTGCCTGTGAACCTTCAGACATAAAGTTGTAGGTGAAGTTGAGCTTGAAAGTAGCTTTCTAGAGGGCAGAGCCTGGATTTTATTAGTTGATATTTTGGGGGAGAAAAAACATAGCCATTGCACAGACAGTAAAATGTAAGCCAGTGATTGTGCGTTGCATATTTTGCACATTGCTACAGCCATTTCCGAGGGGCTTTTTAATTGACACAAACTATTTTGTTTTCTTGTCTTTGTCTATGCCATTGAGTTTTATACTGTCTTTTTCTTCAGTTCATGTGCAGCACTGTGGATCTTGCCAGCTGCATGGCTGCAGAATACAACATCACACCTGACCGGGTGGACATATGCCTTATCAGCAACCTGACTTCCAACTACAGCCTGGGCACCTTGCAGGGATTCTGTGACAGTCCTTTGCCCAACTGCAACTTTCCAGAGGTATTGCTTGAAAAAAATGGGTTTCAGAGCTTGATCTGAGACAGGGCTGTAAAACCTGTGTGATAAATCTCAGTGATCTGGAGAAAAGCAAGGTTGCTCCTGACTGACGTTACAGAACTGACACAGGCTACTACGCACAAACTTAAGTGTCTGAAGTTATTATAATGAGGCCACATTAATGTTTAGATTCCTTCAGGGCCGAATAATCAGTAGGCTTTTATATTTGTTGGATCCTGCCTGTAGGAGGAGAAATGGACTTTCTACATCAAGTCCTTAATGGCATGTAGAACTGCAAGTCATTTCAAAGGAGTTTGTGGGTGCTCTGTTACTTGAAAATCAGTTCACTGAAAAATAATGTATAGTCATAGATTAACCCTTCTCTCCATTGTTTTATGTCCTGACGAAAAACTTTGCTTATATATTCTTTTATTAGGCATAGTAGGTTCTGGCCTCAGGCAGCTTAGCAGCCCTGATAGTGGTCTGCTTCAATTTGCAAACGCAAATCCTACCTCTTCAGAACAACTTGATTAAAAAAAATTAAAATGCCTCTAATGGCAAAAAAAATCCCAAATATGTTTTACACACCGGTAGAATACTTTGCCAAAAAAAAAAATCATCTTTTTGCATAGCTATTCAAGACCTGTCTCTGAGGTTTTAGGTCACACCATTATGTATGTTGTCTACTGGAAACTGAAAAGGAAAAACAATCTGTCTAGGATGGGGACAGAATTTATGTCAAGGTCGTCTGGGTTTATGGGGCCCTGACAGATTTATGGCTGATCTGTTACCATCCAGATGTCCAAGGTGCTACTGAAGGCCCTGGTATCCCACTGAACCTATTTCATTTTAGCCTAACAGGAATACGATCCCTATCTGATTCAGTGAGGTTTGTGAGGAGACCACTATTACTGTGACTTTCAACCCTGCAACAGCTCTTAGTATGTCCACAGAAAGACCCAGGAGCAAAATCTGGCACGATGGAGAACTAGAAACAGTCTGTGCCCATCATGAGGTTGTCAGGAGTGCTGGTTCAGGACAGAGAGGGCTTTTAAGCAATGAGGAACAACCATTTTGTATGCTGAGGATGCTATGGCAGCCTCGAGCCAGGTCCTGCCTGTCAGTGGGCTAAGAAGTGAGGAGTCCCTCCCCTGTGCTCTGCAGGGCAGATGGTGGATATGGTACAGGCATTGTCTGTTGCTCCCAGTGTGCTTTCAGGAGATGGTGAGATCCTACCCCTCAGCCACAGGGAACATCCACCCATTTTCTAGAAAATGAAGAGTCAAGTTACAAGTTGTACAAGTTATTTTCTCTAATTTAATATATCAGTGATGAACTATTAATAAATGAGCTCAGAACATAAGCGTATTTCTACTTCAGCTGGGGCTTGCTTTTAACTGAAAGGATGGTTTGCCTCAGGCACCTGATACAGTTTTTTTGCCAGAAATAGGCCTGTCCAGACAGAGTGGAAGCTTAAATCTTCACAGATTTGATAGCAGGAAGGTGATGAGCTGTGTAACGTGCCTCTCGTAGTTTTACATCTATACTAGCTTTCCCAGGAGCCATAAATGGCACCCGCAGTCTGCAATCCCATTTGAAAGCACTGGTGTGCTCAACATTCAGCTCTCAGATTGGCAGAAGTTGCTGCCCCACCACCTTGGTGTGGCAGAGGGCTCCACTAGCACACACAGGCACACTCCTGCAACTGCTGGCAGAAGAAATGATCGTGGTGTTGAGCACTGGTAGAAGTTTGTCCAGCCTGTATCTTGCCGATGGATTCAGTGTGTCACATCAGCAGGGGCAATGCCTTCGAGTTGGCCTCAAGTGGGTATCAGTACTGGTGGTGTGAACTGCCAATGCCCTTGGTCCTGTGTATTGTGCAGATATGTGAATTCGAGTCCAGAGTTTGACCTTAAAGCACGAAGTATTCCAGCATAACTGGAAGATGCTTTCTGCTAATTCAGTAACGGTGTCCAGGGCAAACCTACATCAATCACAACCTTGGGTATACAGTTGTGAGCCCTACGCCTCTTGAGTGTACAGCAAATAAGGCCTGATGAAGAACACGAGAGTTTTCCTCTCCATTGATTCAGTCTTAACACTTAAATCTCCTTTCACGTGGGATAATCCCACCAGCAGCCCCAGGTTTACATGTTCGGTCAACTCAACTACATAACTCCCAATCCCTTTCTATCCCTCTGTTTAGTTTCCTTTGTTTTCAGTTTCGATTTATCCAGCTGACATTCATCTCTCTTCTGTTTTTTTTTTTTCCCCTTTTTGTCTTTATACAGTACTTTACCTACAGTGTCTTATTGAGTCTCCTGGCCTGCTCTGTGTTCCTTCAGATCAGCTGTATTGGAAAACTGATCCTTATGTTAATCATTGAATTTATATATGTTCTCATTGTGGAAGTGCCAGGGGTCAACCTTTTTGACAATGCAGATCTCCTGGTTACAGCTAATACCTAGTAAGTGCCTTTCACTTCTGAAATCTTCACTTAATTTCTTTGCCCAGTGTTTTCAGTGTGGCATTAGGTGGACAGGAGCGCAGAGGGTGTGGTGCAAGCAAGGGAAGTGCGTCATGCCAGAGAAGGCATGGCTAAAGGCTTTGTCAGTGCTGCTCTCCACTTTCGAAGAGTAAATGGGGACCTGTAGTTAGTCATTCTCACTTCTTCTGGTATTACACTCCCAATATAGAAATGTCTTTCCTCCAAAAAAAAAGGCGGAAGAAAAAAAACCTCCAACAAACTTGAGCTGGCTCAGGGATGTGATAACAAACCACCGAGATGTTTGGACGTCTGATATATCAAACGCAGGTTGGGGTGGTGGAATGGTGGTGTTTCATGTTTGGCTAGTGATCTCCTGACAGCTGCTGTTGGACACGTGTTCATATTGGAAAAAACAGCATCGCAGCCAGTCTCAGCACAATTCCCAGCAGAGGGGCTGGGGCTAAGTGGGAGTAGATAGTTGCCCTTTTGGTTACAAAAGGTAGTTTGTCATCACCAGTTCGCATATTAATCATGTTAGCAACCTCCTTCCCCTGACATTGTTACTCCTCTCCTGAAGGTCACGCCACGGAGGGAAATTTGGCACATCCACAAACCCGCCCTCCTCCACAAGTTTCATTTCTCACTGAGAGTTGTGTTGTCGTATTAACTACGTGTTTTGATGATTTCCCCTTGTAGGCAACAATTCTACTTGAATATGAGTCAATAAAATCATGGTGTTGTCTAAAGGTGAACGTGATGCTAGGATGTATAATACGGAGAGTTGCCTGTGAGACATAAGTAGACCATTGCTCTACCCCGGAGCAGGAAGGCCTAACCTGGAGTATGTTTTCCAGTTTAGGCCAAGAAGGCAGGTCACAATAATGGCGAGTCCAGAGCAGCGAAAAGCAATGAGAGATCTAGAAAGCACCCATTTAGGTGAAACATTGGTCAAGGATGATAGCTGTGGTTGCTCCTGTCTTGGACAGGAGGATGGTTGAGAAGATTCCCATTGTCCTTCCCAGTGCTATTTTGAATGTTATCAAATAGCTTGTGTAGTTGGTCAAATTTTTTGATGGTTATTAACCCCTTCAAGCTGGATGCACCTGGTTACTTCTGGCCTTCACATAAATACTGTGTGCCCAGTAATAATTAATGGAGGTATGGCTTTTACTGCCATTGGCAATAATCACTTAAATTATTTTGTTAACTCAAGCGAATGACATTATGTAGGAAACCCCACGGAGCTTTATTTGGAGGTATGAGGAGAATGAGGTTTCCTTCCTTTTTTTGCAGATGTTATGTATTCCAACAGCAGAAGCTATTTAGCATTTTCTAACACAATTAGAGAAATAAAAGCATTTTATATCCCAAATATAATTTCATTCTTGTAAGTCAAGCACTGAGCAAAATTACAGCACTTAGAAGTATAATTTACATCACTTCACAATCAAAATGTCAGTAATAAAGTGGAGAAGGTTAGCATGTTTTCCCAGAAATAGCTTTCTGTGATGCTAGATTATCTCTCACAAAATGGTATTTGTTTTGTCCGGAGAGCTCCATGGACAGCTATTTGTTGTCCCAATGTCTGGCAGCCCATTCATGTGTTATGGGAAATGGGAGCTCAGCATGTAGCACGTAGTTCAGAGATGTACCTTATTGTCCAGCTGATATTTAAAAAAAAAAAAAAGTGACCTCATACTACTTTAATTGGGTGCCCGTTGTACATAATTACTGTCTGCTCTGCAGCCATTATGGTACTCTGACTAATTAGAAGTGATGCAGATGTCACTTCACACTTCTGTGTACAAACCAACCCAGCATGCAAGCAACTGAAAGGCTGATTATAGCATGTTGGGAGTTGCTAGACTTGACTGCAGAGACACACCAGTGTGGTGACACATGAAGTATAACTGGATGCACAGAGCTACTATTATATTACCTTTTCCCTATGCCAAAGATAAAACTAATGCATTGGTTTTAAAGATGTGATGGACCAATGGGATCTTCTAAGTTGAGTTCCTGCATAGCAGAGCCCAAAGAGCTTTGCCCAGTGATTTGTTCACCAAGCCCGTCATTTCTGTTTGAGCTGTGGTTTGTGATTTAGAGGGCTGTCTGTCCTCGGATCGTGGCTGTGAGAAGGGAGATGCTGCTGTCCTGTGGGAGCTGTCCCCAACATCAACCACCTCTCCTGCTAAAAATGTGTATTTAACTCAAGCGGGAGTGTATTTAGCAAGCTTCTCTCTGTCTTGCCTTCCAGTAATTAAAGAGCCATCTGCTACTAGAAATATCTGTCCCATTGGGGAGCAACCTACCAATGTCACACCATTATTGCTTGCATTGGGCATATTGACTCATCCAAAGTGTTATTGTAAATACCGTGTTTGCTGCATTTCATAGTCTCTGCTGAAGATTTTTGAGGAAGTGCAACAGCCACAGTGAGCTGCAGCCCCAGTACAGAGGGTCAGATTTGCCATGCTCCCATCATAAGACAGTGATAATGGGGGGGGCAGTCCATCATCCTTGCCCAGGTAGTGATTTAGGGGAGTGGGGGAACGATGCTGCATGTGGGAAGCTTCTCCAGCTCCAGCGAGCTCCAGCCTTTAGTGTGGGAGTTACTGTCCTCAGCGTTCTCAAACTGGGTGCACGGCCAAGCACACATGTTCCGTGCTGCAGCTGGCCAAGAGGCCGTGCAATAGATCGTGTGCAAGACAACAGTGGGTTGCAAAATCCATGTCAAAAGAAATTCTATGCTCAGAGCTGCAGAAAATGTCCCGGAACAAACAAGGTTAGAGGGTCACTATGCTTTTATTTTTTAATTTTATGCCAAGTTAGGCTTCCTTGGCTATTTTGATGTTGATGATGATTTTCTCTGATTCTGTAGTGAGAGGTCTCCCCCAGCCCCAGAAAACTGCAGCCTGAAGCTCTCGAGACAGCTGTAAGATTCTCAGGCTAAAGATGTATCACGTTAGTAGCCTGCAAAGCTGTAATTGCATCAATGACACTACAGTAATTTTACCACTGATCTCTCTTTCCATTTAAATAGTGTTTTAAAAGATCCATGTACGTGGTTCTCAACCACCTAATACTCCACCCACGCTTGAGAAAAAACCCAGCAGCATTAAGCAATCAATCAGTCAGGAACTCAGACAGCTACTACCTACCAGAAAGCTCCTTTCCATCCTTTCACTGTAAGAAAAGCGCACCCTCCATCTTCTCCAGCAGCTCTGCTTCATATGAGTATTTTGCAGTGTTGTAAACAGTAATAGCGCTCTGCATAAGGGTTTTCTTTAGCGTACTTATGTGTAGTACCCATAGCTGGGCACAGCACTGGGGATGAGCAACTTGCAGAAGAAGGGAGTAGTGCTAGAATTAGAGGAATTAAATGCCTCTCCGTGCTACAATAAATGGGGAAGAGAGGAGCTATCCCTCACAAGATATTAGCCCAAAGCTTCCTTCTTTGGATCAAATTTTGCAGCTTGACCTAATGAAGTAATGATGGATGCACAAGCATTTGCTAAAGCATCCCACGCTGACATTAAAATCCCAAATGACTGTCTGACTCTTAATGCTTCTTAGATATTTTAACCACATTAACTATGTTGCACCATCACTCGGGATTTTGGAGCTCAGATGACCTTCCCCCCCCTCTCCCCATCTTTTCGGTGTTTTCTGCTTTAAAAGGGGTATAGCCCCACACAGTGTTAGAGGTGCCACATTGCAGAGGTGCTGTTGAGTGATGTGCAGAAGGACGAGTGCTGGAGGGAGCCGAACATTCTACTAACCTTTTGCTTGTGGTTGTTTTTTTTTCAGCGTGTCTGCAAATGCAACGTTACCATGGTGAGTCACTCAGGCATGAAATATTTTTATGGGGTTTTGTTGGTAGGCATTTTGTGTTCACAAGGTGCAATACCAGCACGTTGACTCACCAGCAGTGTCTGGTACTTGACTGTGCTTTGCTGTGAGCTGGTGCAACACGGTGCAAATGCCCTATGAGGACTGAGTATTCCCCTTTCGTCTGTATAGCTACTCTCAGAGCGTCCTCTTTCCCGTGGGACTTATGTCAACTTGCTTTATAGAGCATCTCATAGAGGTTACTTGTAATTACAAGTCAAAGGTTTTATCAAAATAATATTTTAATACTGTATAACTCTGTAATTCAGATTTAACAGTTTTTATTTACTTGCTTGTCAGAAGGGATGGGAATGTGTCTTAGTGCTCTTTTCAGCTTTTAGAATACTTACAGACAAAACAAAGGCCATTAAGAGGTGACTAATTAGAGAAGCAGTAAGTGTAGAACAGTTCCTGATTTAGGAGGCTGGGGAGACCCGTGCAGGAGACACAGCGTGAATACAGTCTGAAGAGCTATTAGCATTTTGGTTTTGCCAAGCATAGTGATGGCTGAACAGTTATGGCCCTTCTCTAAAAAGTGGGCTTTATATTGATGTTAACCCTTTTTAAGAAGTTGGATTAAATTTCCAATTTCAAAGTCCTGCTTTAGAAACCAGCACCTCTGCAGCAAAGTCTTCAGCTTCTTGCAGGTATTGTTTGTCCCTTTACCAACATGTGCTTTGGAGGGAAAGAAAAAAGCCTTTTATTTGGAGATTGGCTAGCCTTAAAGTGAGAACTGGGGAGTGTGGCTAAACTGTATTGCCCCACGCTGAGACTAACTGGAAAATTCTGCTTTCGTTGGCTGCAGCTCTCCAACGACAAGAGTTGCGCTGAAGATTGTAACCCCTGTCATCATTACCGTCTTTGTCCTGGCGCTGTACTTGCATGCCCAGCAAGTGGAATCCACTGCAAGGCTCGATTTCCTCTGGAAACTCCAGGTTAGTGGGTGTTTGCTGTGTCGGAGGAATACACAGACTGATTGGTGTTAGTATAAAACGGCTAAACTATTCACTGGCAAGATGGGGAGTGCTATAAAATGCCTTTGGATTTGATCTGGATCTGTCATATAACTCAGCATAATAGTAATACTTTTTTCTTCTTTGGTGTTTTGCATTCTCAGTGCCTCTCATTCTGTTTTTTTACTTTAACTTTTGGTTTTCTTGTAAATGCACTTTGGATGGTCCCCACAATAAAGGGTCATAGGTCTGAAGATCGAGGTTAAGGAACTTGAGCACCTGGGCCTGTCACTGTTGCAGGAACCTGTAATATAACACAATCTGTAAATATAGAAAGCTCATATTCATCGCTGATTGGTTTCCCAGAGTTCAGACAGCTTTAGCTTGCTGTGTTCAGGAGTGTGAAAGATTCACAGCTGCATTTTCATTCTCTAAGCAGCGGGAAGAGGCTTGCTATCCAATCTTCATTAGCTCCTGGGCAGCAGTACTGGATAACCAACACAGTACAGGTGATGCCACACTTCGCTCCTGTCCCTGGATTCAGTATTAATGTTTTCATTACTTGTGTCCACGAGTGATGCTGGGGTATCATACCTGATTCTTAAGCAAGCAATACAGGTCTCATAGCTGGGGAATCGCAGGACCACAGGTTTTCTGTAGATTTTTTACCTTCTGGATGGCAGGACATCATTCAAATAATAGGTCTCAGTGGTTTGAGTAGGAGGCACTGAGGAAGCATCGATTAATTAAAGCTCCTTGGGAAGTAGATAAACATTGTTATCCTCATTTATAAATGGTAAAACAATGGATGGGATAAGCTGACTTGCCTGTTCTGGGTCTGGGCTCAGCTGGCCGAAGCATTTGTTTCACCAGGCAGAGCCAAATGTTTTCCTTGTTCAGTCCAGACATATCACTTTCTAAAGGGTTCTTCCTCATTTAACTTAATTCCCAGTTTTGAGTATCCTGTTTCAAAAACCAGCATCCATGAGCAAAATTGTAAGTGCTTTGCAAGTATTGTTTGTGCCTTTACCAACACGTACTTAAGGGATGTGGGGAGGTTGTCCCTTCTCCCCTCACAAAGCGAGAGCTAGAGAGTATGGCTGAGCTGTGTTTGTCCACGCCGGGGCCCAAATGTCCTGGGAGATTCTGCCCTTTCGTAGATTCCAGCTCTCCAGTAATGACAAAAGTCATTGGAAAAAAAGATTTGAAGAAGACCCATGTACAGGCCGTACATTTTGCCTGGTGCCTCTGCTGAAGCCGAGGGTGCTGTACACAGGACACTTCTTTGGGAGCCGAACCGCTATGTGTGACCACTGTCTCAGCTGTGCTGTCCCCAGTCCTTGCCCGACCCTGTTTTTTTTTCCTTCACTCTTTGCTCAGAAATATTCAAAATGGCAAAAAAGTAAAAACAAGGGGGAAAATACTGCTGCCATCAGGTAGTGAGGGGAAGAGGTGATCAGTACACACACCAGAAGCAATGAATTGAAGTAGTGCTGGCACTGTGCAAGTCTGCAAAGAGAAATCAAATCCCCAGAGAGAAGTTATCTGTGAAGTCTGAGTAATCATCTAGTGAACTTGAAATGCTTGTTTTATTTTAAAGTCACCGAGGCCTGGGTACATCCTAGGTATGTTCTCCCTGAAGTGCTGGTTCCATCTGAACATTAAACCCAAATCCACACCCATTAGCACAGAAACAAGAAAACCCATTCTCCTCACATTCCCCGTCACCTGAACGTGCCCCCACTACTGCAGGAGACATGGGCTTTGCAGGTTGCTGACAAGTCCTCTCCAGAGTGTCAGACCGGCCTGTTTCATGGTAATTGTACTTCATGACCGTCATTGCACTCCAGAAAACCTTGTGGAAAAGGAGGGTCCCTTTATTTAGCTACATGAGCATTTTGGGGGGGAGGCAGAGGATTATAATGCCACTCATGCAGTCAGACTTTAGCAACGTTGTCTTTGTCCTCCTGAAACCTGTTGTGCTTGACTGGGAAAGCCAAATGTGTGTTTTCATGGATGGTGGTAGAGCTCCCTGAAAAGGAACAGACCTTGTACAGGTTACCCAATTCAGGGCCCAGAAATGTAACACCGCCACTGGATTTTGGTTACTCTATCCCTGCTTTTACACGCGTGCACACAAAGAGATGGCCCATCTTCTACTGCTAAACACAAGTTTCTGCATCACTCTGGTTCTTCCCTCCTTTGCAGTTTTCCCCGTTCTTCTGTTTCTGTCTTCCCTGCAAATTCATTTTCAGCTTTTTTATCCCTCCCCAGAGCAGTTACCAAAAGCATAAGCACATCACTCTCTCTCCCTCCCAAACTAGGCCACTGAAGAGAAAGAAGAAATGGAGGAGCTACAGGCCTATAACAGACGCCTCCTCCACAACATTTTGCCAAAGGACGTGGCAGCCCATTTCTTGGCTCAGGAGCGGCGAAATGATGAACTGTACTACCAGTCCTGTGAGTGTGTGGCTGTCATGTTCGCCTCCATAAGCAACTTCTCAGAGTTTTATGTGGAACTGGAGGCCAACAATGAAGGGGTGGAGTGTCTAAGACTGCTCAACGAGATCATTGCTGATTTTGATGAAGTAAGTCGCAGAAAATCTGGGTGAACAGAGTGAACTGAATCAGTGGGTTTATTTGTGCTTTGCTGAGCTCCTGAAGGAAGGTGGCTTATCGAATCCTTGTGCTGTGGTTCATTTCTCCTCACTCTACAAGTCTTTAATTCTTTTTTTTTTTTACATTAAAATCCCTTTTCTTCCCTTGTCACTCCTCTAAACATCTAATCTCCTTTCATAGAATCATAGAATGGTTTAGGTTGGAATGGACCTTAAAGATCATGTAGTTCCAGCCCCCCTGCCATGGGCAGGGACACCTCCCACTAGACCAGGTTGCACAAAGCCCCATCCAGCCTGGCCTTGAACACCTCCACGGCAACCTGTTCCAGTGCCTCACCACCCTCACAGGCAAGAATTTCTTCCTAATATCTATTCTAAATCTCCTCTCTTCCAGTTTGAAGCCATTCCCCTTCGTTCCATCACTACATACCCTTGTAAAAAGTCTTGTAGGCCTTCTTGTAGGCTCCCTTCAGATACTGGAAATCTGCTAAAAGGTCTTCCCAGAGTTGTCTCTTCTCCAGGCTGAACAACCCCAACTCCCTCAGCCTGTCCTCATAGGAGAGGTGCTCCAGCCCTCTGATCATCTTTGTGGCCGTCCTCTGGACCTACTCCAACAGTTCCATGTCCTTTTTATGTTGGGGGCCCCAGAGCTGGACGCAGTATTCCAGGTGGGGTCTCACAAGAGTGGAGCAGAGGGGCAGAATCACCTCCCTCGACCTGCTGGCCATGCTGCTTTTGATGCAGCCCAGGATACGGTTGGCTTTCTGGGCTGTGAGAGTGCATTGCCAGCTCATGTTGAGTTTCTCATCCACCAACACTCTCAAGTCCTTCTCCTCAGGGCTGCTCTCCATACATTCGCCACCCAGCCTGTATTTGTGCATGGGATTGCCCTGGCCCACGTGCAGGACCTTGCACTTGGCCTTGTTGAACTTCATGAGGTTTGCACAGTGGAAGGAGAGGAGAAATCCCACACTTTGTTCCTATACTTTGAGTAGTGGAGGTTCTGTCCAGTACTTTGTAGCGCTTGCACCAAGGGAGGACACGTGGCAAGGACATTACCAGCACGTATGCGTTTGTCAAGGTTTATTTGCTTCTTTTGCTCTTCTCTTGTGAAACAGATAATAAGTGAAGACCAATTTCGGCAGCTGGAGAAGATCAAGACCATCGGCAGTACATACATGGCTGCGTCAGGCCTCAACGATTCCACTTACGACAAGGATGGGAAGACACATATCAAAGCTCTGGCTGATTTTGCCATGAGGTTAATGGACCAAATGAAATATATTAATGAACATTCATTCAACAACTTCCAGATGAAGATAGGTAATGTCACTGTGTTTACAGGATTAATTATAGGTAGTGGTCACTCTGAGCTGGGGATTTTATGGAGAGTAAAGTCATAGATGTTTCGTTAGCTGTGCAGTGATGTTAATTGTCTTCTGCCTAGTCACAGCAAAAATAACATTTTTGGCCACTCTGAAACACCAGGGCAGTTTTGTTAGGGCAGCAGTGTTATTACTGAAGCTCCCTGGAGAATTAGGAGCAGTTGGCGACTGACCTTGGTGCAGAGAAGCTCTTGCCACAGCATGGGCTCACATGGTGGTTGAGTTTGGGCTCATTTTGGCTGTGATGTGCTCCCTGCCCACACCCCCATGCTCCCAAGCATTGCCTTTCTCGGACATTAAATTGTCTTTCAAGTCAGGGAATAAAAAGAGACAAAAAAGGAGAAGGAGAAGAAGTGGGAGGATGTCAAGTGTGGTATTTGTTGTGGAAGGCCACCAGGCTGCTGGCTCGCGGGCGCTCAGCATTGCCGCAGCTGTGTGCAGACTTCCAAATGAGCAGTTTGCTTGGCAGCCCGATGGCAAATAAACCTTATCCTGTTGTCTGGTACTGGAAAGTAGCTCTGGATTGAGCAGATGCAGCCCGTGCTGCCAGTCAGACAGGCATAATGGAACAAAGAAGCCAACTTCTCTTCAAACGTTTCTTTCCCCACAGCTTAGACATAGCTTTACATGTCAGTGTAAAGCACAGCTAGAACCAATGAACCGCAGGATGTTTTTTATTGTCTGAAAAATAACTTGCCTCAAGCTTCTGTGGTTCACACGTGATGGATCTGAGCATTGTGGGATTTCTGCTCTCCTTCCAGGCCTCAATATTGGTCCTGTCGTAGCTGGGGTGATCGGAGCACGCAAACCCCAGTATGACATATGGGGCAACACGGTGAATGTAGCCAGCCGAATGGACAGCACAGGTGTGCCTGACAGGATTCAGGTAAGGAATTCACTGGAAAGCTTACACTGCCAGCCATGTGCCACTTACCGGGTTTGACACTTCATTAGAATTGGAATTTTGGTTTCAATGTATTCCTTTGTGCCATACATTTATATACACAGTACTGAAAGAAAAGCCAACTGGGCAATGCCAGTGGTACCATCAAATTTTGCCTTTTAATCGTGATCAGTTCTGCAACCTTGGCTCCAAAACTTGCAGTTTAGTTCTGGGTGGAAGCGTTGAGCTGAGGTTCCTTCCTTGAGTGCCTCAGTGGCACTATGAGCACAGTCCCGCTGTGATGCTTACTCACTCCTGCTGCCAGCTTCGCTCTTCAGCTACGTGCAACTGTAGGTTGTTTTATTTTCCAAGGGCTCAATTCAGATACCTACCGCCGTAATTCACCCCTCTGTTCACAATGCCGTGTGTGTCGTGAGGCCAGCAAGGCTCCAGGCACCAGAAGGATGGGGATACGTAACTAGCGAAAGAGGACGGTTTAAGGGCTTAATCAAAACTGTCTTGTAATCAAACATCTTCAGACAGTGACCTTTCCAGTGATTCAGTTCCACCGTCCTGCTTTCGCTGAGCCAATGGCCACAGTAACAGATTGTCATTCCTTGGGAAAGTACTGACGGGATGTAAAAATAGTTCGAGTAACTGATGTAAACCCCGAGAGGTGAAACCATGCTGTTTCTTTCCAATTAAACTGTCGGTTAACTGGATCAATATTTATCCAACACCCTTTAGACCTTCCTACAAGATGGTCCGTGAACAATTTTCATTCCAGTTAAGCAAATCAGCACAGCAATGTTACAGCAATAGGAAGACAGAAATAGAAATATTTAAAGCCACCTGAAACAGGGTGAGAAAATACATAGTAATAAATAAATATCTCAAGAAATCTGTTCTTTAAACTTCTGTTATTCTGCAGCACAAGTGATTATTTTTGAATGGCATCTGCAGAGAGAATTTGGATGCTGGCTAGATTATTCCATTCATTCTGTCTTTCTCCTTGCCCACTATCTTCTCCTCCATAAAAAAAAAACCAAACCACCTGCATGATTCCTTCTAAATTGTACATCCACTAATTTGTAAGTAATTTTTGAGGACTTTTTAAATACGTGTAACATGTTTTCCTGCTACTACTCCAGTGATGTAATGAATGCATCTGAGTAGACTGAACTGCCAGGTGCATTTTTTAAAATGTGACTCGTTTCTTATCATGTGACCGCTTGAAAAATGTGGTTTTCCCCCAGTTGCGTATCATGTGTGACTTCGTAGTTTCTCAGTTTCTAAAGGTTGTGTTTGTTCTGCAACTTGTCCCAACCTTTTAGTTAGTGATTGATATGCAAAAGTCAACTGACTCAGAAACAAAATAGTCGATCCTACTTTAACTTTGTCTGTGGATTACACCAAAAGCAAACAAAAAGACTGTGGAAGGTATGAATGACAAGCATCTGCCTACTCTTGTTTATTCCGCAGGTAACCACAGACATGTACCAAGTTTTAGCAGCCAACAACTATCAGCTGGAATATCGAGGGGTCATTAAGGTCAAAGGCAAAGGAGAAATGACCACCTACTTTCTAAATGAAGGGCCTCCGATTAGTTAGCACCGACTGCAGCACCACTCAGAGATGGAATCTGCGTTACGCGAGATTGTGAATCAGAGAAGAATCAGTTTTTGGCAGTGAAGCTGACAACGCAGCGCAGCTGAAGTTTCACACCGTGACTCTAGAGTTGGTATCAGCAAACTCTTTGGCCACCCGTCATGAAAGGCGATGGAAAGAAACCACCTTGGAGTTGTTCCTGGCTGAGTGCTAAATCGACCAAAGATGTGTACTACAGAGTTCACAGATAAGACGTGAATTTGGAAATTTTAAAAAAGGCTGCTACCACAGGATGATATAAGAAGCTATTTAAGTATTTATTGACGCAACACAACATTTACTTGGTTGAAGGAATGTATGATTCACTACAAAGCATTATTTTGGAATGGATTTGCACTCCCATAATGTTTCCATCCCATACTGCCAGCTATTTGAAGTGTACCACTGTGCTTTTATTAGCTGTTTTGAATGGGCTTTCAAAATTGACACCCACTGTTGCAGCACACAGAAGGGCCTTTTAGAAGGGCAGCGGTAGTGTTTTAGTGTGAAAAGACATTCTAGCCCCGGCCCCCTCTTTCCCCTTCTTCTACATGGCTAAATGACTGCTCTTCTGCGTGGGGCTGGCACGTCAGCTGAAGGGGAAGATCGCGAGAAAGAAAGATGGCTCTCCAACCGTATTTATTAAAAAGTCTTCTGTGCTCTTCTTTGGTATATATCAGTTTACATGGGAAAGACTAGATGTAAACAAGAGACACTTTGTGGGGGGAACTCCCCTGAAATTTGTTGTGGTTTTTTTTGTATTTTTTATTTTGTAATATTGAAAACACGGAGATCTAACAGATATACCAAATTCTATATTTTGTAAATTATATATAAATTAGAAGGCAGGCTGTCCACACCGAGGTGTGGTGGGAGGTGTATATAACCTGTAGACTTTTGTGTAATTTTTTTGTGCATAATACTCTGAACACAGACTTGGCAGTTTTCAGATTATCACTATACAATCAACCAACAACAAACAGGTGAGTTTCCAGGCTGAATCAGATGCATTTTAAAATGAAAATCCAGAAAATCTACAACCCCCAAAGAAGAGGAAAAAAACAAAACGCAGTAGTCACACAGTTGTTCCATGCAGCTTTCAAGCGGAGGGGGACATCTTAACAAATGGAAACAGGACCTTTGAGGTTTAGCTACCGAGACGGTATCAGTCAAACATGTCAAAAAGAGCTCTAAACAAATCATCTAACCCTAATAGGAGCTCTTATAAGAAGAGAGAAAAAAAAAATAAGCTCATTTGAACTTTTCCTTTAAAAAATCATTTTTCATAAATGTTCTTAATAGAATCCTGCTGATATGAGAGTTCTCTGATATTGTAACTGCCATTTGACATTACAAGGAACTACGTACTGCAGCACTGAGTTGACTTTCCTGTAGTAGGCACTTATTTAAACTGAGTCACAGATTTTCAATTTTCAGGAATGAGGTGATCTTCAAAAAAGGCTACGATGGCAAATGTGTATATTAGATGGTTGACCTTAAAATACAGTGCCATTGATATTGTGTTGGACATCTTTATCACTAATGGGGGGTTTATGAATAGTTCACTGTTATCATTTATGTACCTTTTTTAACTATTAAAGAAAAATCCCTTGATATTTTATTAAAAAAAAAGAAAAGAATTTTAAAAAAAGCTATATTTTTTATATTCTATGAGGGGAGAGTTTTGATATGGAATTTGGCTAGCACTAAAAATGACTCCAATCTTTTGACATTTAATAAAGGTCTTTTCCACTCTTCTCAGGGCAGAATTATTGTAGTACTAACAGCTTAATGATTGCACTATGGTGGTGGTGATTTATTTTTTTCCTACTCGACAACAAGAATAAGTGATAATCCATGGGCCTGTCTTAATTTGCCATATTGCTGAGCATGACCCGAGCATTAAGCCATTTAAACGTAAGCTTAAATGGCATCGCCCTTTTCCTTCCTCCTTCCACTAGGAAACATCTCTGAAAAGTATAGTATATTGACTTCTGTAAAACTGCCAAGTCTGCCCTTGTACTATACTTTTGCTCCTTTACATCTTTCCTGGTTTGCAAAATACTTACGTTTCATCATGCCGTTATGCCTTTTTTCCCGCCCTCTCCCTTCCATCCCTTTTACCCCTCACTGAGTTTCATTACCTTCATGCCATACACTCAATTTTTAGGTTTGCTTTCTGCTTTACGAAAGTCTGCAGTCGTCTTAACTTTCGATTCATCTTATGAAGTTGTGTTGTCAATGAAATTTCAAGTCCCCGGTATCTCTAGCTGTGATTGTTGACAGTGTGTCATGATCATTTCAAGGGGTATTCACACACTCTTTACTCTGGATCTTGCAAAAATGGATACAGTTATGATTTCCCATGGAAATTGAAATCTATTTAAGTAATTTAACTATATTAAACACTGTTTCACTGGTAAAGTGTCTCTGTTTTATTTTAGCTGCCTCTGGCTAGTGAAGAGACCAGGCCACGAGTTGTGTAGGAGATACTGATTTTTACACATTGAAACATCCAGTTCTTGACTAGCGCTGGCTGACGGCCGTTTGGACCACACCAGTACTACACGATGCCCAGTTACAAAGCCTCAAGGGTTCATTTGCACAGCGAACATCCCTGGGTCCGTCCTGTGCACCCACTTGCCTTGAAATGTGAATCTCGGGCCAGCTGACAGAGCCTCGTTGCGGCACTGTGGTTAAGTATATCGGTATAACTGAGTAGCTTAAAAATAATTAATATTTTTTCTGCCCTATTTAAAAAAATATTTGGTGTATTTTAAAAAGCACATCACCTTTGCCAAAGCATTCCCCAGGTATTTGTCCTCCCAAGGACACCTGGAAGGAGGCAGCAGTGCCTGCCAATGCAACATTTTCAATCGTTACAGGTAAAAAATAAATGCTACACATAACTACACCAATTAACAAAAGCCTGAAGTATAACTGAGAAACAAAAAGCTCCATCTTTCAACTGACTTTTTTAGTTGAGGAGACATTACACAGGCAATTAAGCACTGAATGCCTGGATCTGTTATTTGTTAGGAGGGCTTTCATAAGTGTACTGAGAACATCGCTGCATGAAGAGAAAGCCATGAAGTACTCAAAGTATCAGCCTTTAAGAAGGATGCTGAAGGACTATTTAATACTTTATATGTTCTACATACTCAAACCAACATCAATTCAGGACATTTTCTGATGTAAGTGGTTTTTGAAATGTATCTGGAGAAGGGTATTCCCCAGGGGAGGGAAGTCAGTAGCCTCCAGTGCTCTGCCCTCTCATTTAAACTGCTGTACGCACTGCCTGGCTGAACTGTTTACCCTCAATGCTCCTCTTTCCCATCCAGAAAGCATTTTGATGAATTTTAAGGTGTTTAGCCACCTGTCCCCAACACAAAGCTGGCTGCATCAAGTATCTGCCTGCGCTTAATAAAAGGATACATTTGGGATGCACCAGATTTCCTACATGTGTGTCCTGTGATGCCACTATCCCTGGCCTCACTGTCTGTGCGTTACACAACATACATGGACACCAACAGCTGGCCAAAAACTCTGCCTAGAAGGAAATAGTTTCATTCTGTTAACCTTCCTGACTGCTCCTCAGGGCACCGTCACTTCTAGTTTGAAGTTTGGTGGCTGACAGGGAGAGATAGCTTGGGATGCAGCCTGAAAAGGGGCAGTTCAGCTGTTTTAAGCTGAAAAACGCCTTTTCCATTCTCTTGAACCTCTCTGTCACAGGTGTTTCAATTGAAGGAGCAGAAGAACCTGAGCAGGGCAGGGGCCAGGACTGAGAACACTGAATTTCAGGCGGGATGGGGGACAGCAGCAGCAACATTTTTCTGCCACCTGGCAGACAGGTACCTTACTGTAAAAAAATAGGGTTGTATTTTTTAATTTCTGTCCCTGTCCCCACCAGTCCTGCTCTGCCCTGGCGAGGCCGCACTGTTTGTTGGTGCCAGCCCCTTTCCGGTGGCTCCTGCTGGAAGGCGGGTGGGAGAAGAGCAGGTAAGCAGGCGGAGAGCGCTAGGGGGGCGTTACAGCAGCAGAGCGAGAGCCCAGCATTGACAAGCTCAGAGGCAATGCTGGTGCAGCACTGCACGGGCGCCATTTGAATTAGAAGTCCCATAGGAGAACAGCTACAGAGAGAGAGCGCTTCCCCTGTAAGCAGCTGGCACCAGAGATCTTTTCTTTAAACACAGAATTTCAGATGCAAATAACTATTGCCACCTACTGGAAACAGACTTGCGTAGCCTTAGCCAGGCAATGCTACCACTGCTGCCGAGTAATCGCACAGGACCAGGCTGAAAGAGACAAAGGTACCTGCACAAACCCCCCTTCCATCGCAGGGAGGGGAGTACTTCACAACCTAAAGGCAGTCACTCCTTCCGAAATAACTCATTATACACAATCAAGCAAACGCAATTTATAGATAAGCAAAAAATAATCATCCAGGCTGCCTGTGTGTGTTGTCAGCCAACCCACCACCACCACCACCACGGTGGCAGGGCAGCAGTCAATGGTTCAACAACAGAAGACTCTACCATACACACTGCTGCTCCTCCTCGCTACGAGGGTGCCTGTGAAAGGCTCCAGAGGCCTCCCCACCTAATAGCAAACTTCTTGCATGGTGCAGCCCAAGTTCCAGCAGGAGCCATAAAACTCCGGTTATGTGGCAGCCAAATCATGTTACGCTGTTCCTTCACCCGATCTGCCACTGCATACGTTGAGACCCACCAAACCCAGGACGAAGCCGTTACCCTGCCATGCCCTCGGGACTGTGGTTTCAATCCTTCCTTTACTGAGGGTATGAGAGCCGAGAACCTCCTGCTGCCACCACTCAGATATGCTTGACGCTCTCCTGTCCTTCAAGTGACTGTTCCCATTTGGACTGAAACGAAACACAGGCTAATGGACATCCTACCTCTCCTTTTCACTGCTCAGCAGGGAGCGCAGCACAGCATCCCAGCACAGCCACACCTGGGGGATGGGGAGACACCAGAAGAAAGGGACCCAGAACACCATCTTGATGCTACACGCCTCCTGCTAAGAAACAGGGCTCACCATAAGTTGCCTGAAGAACCAAAGCGATGCAGATTGTCCTGAAAAGGGCAAGGAGAAGACAGAGTAGAGCTGTCTCTGCTGTTGAAATTATTTAATGTCCCATTATTTACGGTCATGTTGAAAGCAGGCACCAGGCCTCCCTGGCTAGGCGAGTGCAGGGACAGCCAGCTGATAATGTCCTCTCTTGCCCTCTCTTCTCACAGCATCCCTGCAGCAGCTTCAGAATGAGAGATGGAGCACATTCTCATTTGCTTTCCACCTTTGCACAGTGCTTGACAACTACCGCACATTCTTAAGCTCTGCATACAGGTTGGTGGGCTAACCCTACAGCATCACTCCCGTGTTCCTAGTGCAAGCAGAGGCAGATGCCCAGGTCACAGCTTCGCATGCTGTCCAGGAGCCAGGTACCCAGATAATGCCTCTGCAGCCCCTGCTGAA